GGCTGGAACATTCAGTTCCAGAGTGTTCTGGAACATTCGGTTCCAGCCACAAAGAAGAAACTGGGGATGCTGGGAAAGACCGGGAAAAGCTGGGGAGAAGCAGTCAGATAGATTTTATGCTTTATTCTTCTGCCCTTCCGATTATTCAGCACGGCCTCCCTTCAAAATGACCACTTGACCTTTCCCACAAGAGCCATTAACCTTCCATAGTCTGTCGCGTAAACAGCTTAATTTTCTGACGGCAGCATGACAGAAGAAATTACAAAGGCAATTCCCACTCCTGGTCCAAACAGATGCCAAATGTAAATCACTCCATTTCCAGGAGGAGGACATTCTGCCCCAGTGCCTCCGCCGTCCTGCCTCCTCGGGGGCGCCGCTCAGCCCTGTTCTGGCGGAGGACGGCCCCTCACCATCGACGACCCCCACTTGGACGGGACAGCTGTCCTTGGGCTGTCCTGAGAAGCTGCTGACCTAAGCCCGAAAGCTGGCGGTTCCTTTCTCTCGTTTTTGAGCACCCAACCCATAGCCCGAATCAAAACACCCTAAGTCAGAGGCACCCTAACCGCTGCTTCGTAAAACAAACCCTTGCCTACTCTTGAATGACAAAGCTAAAAAGCAGCTGATTCCATTTGTTTTTCCTGTTCAACAACATATCTACTTTGATTGCTACCTAAAATCTGGAACAAAAACTTGTAAAAATTAGAGACAATTTTAAAGAAAAAAGTTTTAACATAAATGAGTTATAACAGAGCTTCTCAATTATGCTGTTCTCTGGGGAGGGGTTGATTTTAGGGGTGCCTGAAGGACCAAGCGTGGAACCTAAGTGAATTAAGCAAGGCAGGTTCTATGGTTTACAGTCCCCTAAACTTTAGAAGGTTGTGAGGTTGGAAAGGAACTAGGATGGTGAATTTTATGCGTCAACTTGACTGGGCCAAGGTGCCAGATATTTGGTCAAACGTTATTCTGCGTGTTTCTGTAAAGGTCTTTTTGGGGTGAGATTAACACTTCAATCAGTGGACTCTGAGTGAACAGAATGCTCTCCATTGTGTGGTGGGCCTCACCCAATCGGTTGAAGGCCAGAACAGCAGGGTCTGACCTCTCTGAGCAAGAAGGATGCTGCCCACAGGCACATCCTTTGGACTGAGACCACAACTCTTCACTGGGTCTGCAGGCGGCCCGTCTGCCCTGCAGATTTTGGACTTACCTAGCCTCAATAACCAATTTCTCTTCACACACACATATATGGATGGGTGTGTGTGTGTGTGTATGTGTGTGTGTATCCAAATCCACTTGGTTTCGTTTCTGTGAAGAATCCTAATACTGGATTATTTTATTTTGTGTGATAAACACACGAGAATATTTTTACCTCTTAAAAGAAATATAGCTTCTCTTTTCTTTCCTGAAATCTCTTTTGTTTGCCTTATTGACAGAGGCACAGCCATGAAGAAATACTTCTCTACTATGAGAAAAACAACAAGCAGCACAAGATAAGTGGCAAGTGACTGAGTGTGGTGAAGGGGACGACAGGACGTGGTGGGGTCTGCGGTAAACCAGAGTTCATGGAGGCAGTGGCCTCCGCTGAGCTTCTGTGTGCTCAGGAATGTGGGGCCCTGTACTGTCAGATCTTCTGATTTTTCTTTTATTTCGTGAAGTTTATTAACTAATTTTGAGAGAGAGGGCACGAGCAGGGGAGGGGCAGAGAGGGAGGGAGAGAGACAGAATCCTAAAGCAGGCTCCGTGCCGTCCGCGCAGAGCCCAATGCGGGGCTCAAGCTCGCGAAACAGAGATCATGACCCGAGCCGAGATCAAAAATCTCCCCATTTTTAAACACAGGTCCCCCCAGAATGCAGGATCTTGTGTGGGCCAAACATTTGCTCTCGAATACAACCTAGAGGTGACAAGCACGGGGTCCGGGTGGCCCTCCCAGCATTTACCAGCTGGGGATCCTGGCCTACTTCACCTCCTCATGCCTCAATGAGCCCACCTGTAAAATGATGCCATGGCCTACAACTCTCAGGGTCGTGATCAGAATTAAACAAAACGGAGCACATAAAGTACTTACCAATGGCTGGTGGCCAAACACAAGGTCCCTCCCTTGACTACTGGAATGGCCTGCCCTGTCCAGCAGGCAGAGGTCGGGAGTTCCCAATCAGCAGAAGCATCTAAACTGGGAAAGCCTTCCCGAGAGGTGGGCCCCCAAACTCCCGCAGGGCACGAAACGCTGGGGCAGGGCTCCACAGTGCCCCTGCACCCGTAAGAGCCCGTGACTCTAAAACCCTAGTGTTGCCTCTGCTGATGACAGAGTAAGTCTGCACAGCTTTCTGGTAAGCAACTTGGTGACATGAGTCCAGAACCTCAGATATGCCCACCATTCTAAATGCACGAAGATGCTGACCACAGCGTTACTTTGGTGGAAAATCAGAAATAACTTAATGTCCCTCAGAAGGTATTGGCTTAAAAGACTACAGGATGGGGGCACCTGGGTGGCTCAGTTAGCTGGGCGTCCTACTTCAGCTCAAGTCATGATCTCACGGCTCTCGTGCTTCAAGCTCCTCACTGGGCTCGCTGCTGTCAGCACGGAGCCCACTTCAGATCCTACATCTCCCTCTCTCTCTGCCCCCTTCCAGCTTTCACTCTCTCTCTCAAAAATAAATACATCTTTGGGGCACCTGGTGGCCCATCGGTTGAACGTCCGACTTTGGCACAGGTCATGATCTCACGGTTCACGGGTTCGAGTCCCTCATCGGGCTCTGTGCTGACAGCTCGGAGCCTGGAGCCTGCTTCGGATTCGATGTCTCCCTCCTCTCTTCCCCTCCCTCACTTGCACTCTTTCTCAAAAATAAACATTAAAAAAATATTTTTTTTAAATAAATAA